GCCTGCGCGGAAAACTCGCCCGCCTTGGGTAAACTCGACTCCGCGCTCGGATAAAATCGCCCCGCCTCGGGTAAACTCGCCCCGCCTCGGGTAAACTCGCCCGCCTCGGGTAAACTCGCCCCGCCTCGGTAAACTCGCCCGCCTGCGGGTAACTCGCCCCGCTCGGGTAACCTCGCCCGCCTCGGGTAAACTCGCGCCCGCCTGCGGGTAACATCGCGCCCCCGCTCGGGTACAAGCTCGGCCCGCCTCGGGTAAACTCGCCCCGCCTGCGGGTAAACTCGCCGCCGCCTCGCGGTAACTCTACCGCTCTCGGGTAACACTCTCCGCCGCTCCGGGTAACACGCTGCTCCCGCCTCGGTAAACTCTCCCCGCCTCGGGTAAACTCCTCCGCGCCTGCGGGTAAAGTGCGGCCCGCCTCGGGTAACCTCGCCCGCGCCTCGGGTAAACTCGCCCCGCCTCGGGTAAACTGCCGGCCCCGCCCATCGGGTCACAACTCGCCCCCGCATGGGGTAACCACCACTCCGCGCCCCGCATGGGGTAAACTCGCCGCGCATGGGGTAAACTGCGCCCCGCCTGCGGTAAAATGGCCGCGTCTCGGTTTAAACCGCCTGCCTGGGCGTTAAACTCGCCTGCCTCGGTAAGACTCGCCACCCGCCCTCGGGTAACCTCGCCCCCGCTCGGCGCTAACCCTTTTCCCCGTCCAACCTTCCCTATCTGCCTTCCCATCCCCTCCATCTGAACTGACATGCCTGCCCAACTAGCCCCCCCCCCAACTAACCGTTACCCCCTCGTTTCGGCTTACTTCGCCCGCCTTCGTGAAACCTTGCCTCTGTCCGCTACCTTCTTGCCGCATCCTCCTTCCTCCGCACCCGCATCTGAACTTACTGCCGCGACCAAACTTCGCCTCCACTCGCAACAAACCTTACCTCGTTTCCGCTTAACCTTTGCCCCCTCCCCTCGAGTAACCGCCTCGTCCAACCTTCTCCCATCCTCCTTCAGCCCACTCCCCTTTTGAAACCCTGAATTTGCCCCCGCACCTCCAGCTCCGCCCAACACGCCCTGCTACACAACTTCCCCTCGCTTGCGCTTAGGCCTTACATTGCATCAATGTACTTCGCTCCGTCCGCAACTTCTCTTCCACCCTTTCTCGCTCCGCCTCATCCGAACCTGATTTGCTCCGCACCGCCTTTTCTTGCCACACGCGACGCTCCGCCAACCTCCTGTTCAACTAATTTACGCGTCCCCCAAACCCTCGACTTGCTGCGTTTTTCTTTCTCCGTCCGCGCTCGATCGTATCAACCGTCCTCTTGAACGCCCCCGCTCTTGCCGCACTATTCCGAATTACCCTACTCAGGCCTTTCCAGTTCCTCAGCCCAACTTCACCAGTCCCTGCTCCGTCAATTACAACCCAATAGTACCCTCATTTGGGCTCGGCATCGGCTTACGCCCACCTCGCCTGCAGCAAATGCTCCCCCTTCCCTATTCGGGCACTCTACTCGTCGCCACCTTTGTCCACTCCTGCGTATTCATCACTCCCTTCTCGCCTGCTTCTCTCGCCGCCACCGCCAATTTACCCCTCCACGCCCAATTCATCCATCACGTATATTCCACTCCCACTTATTTTGCCTCTTCCTTCCCTACTCGCTTGGTTCTGTCCTGCTCCCATCCCTAATTTAGTCCTATCATGTCCATGTCGCACAAGCTTGTAATCCTGCGTACCCGCATCACTCCCTTCTCGCACTCTCTCTCCCTCCACCCCAATTTACCTCCACGCCCAATTTTCATCACGGTAATATTCACACTCCCTTATTCTTCCTTCTTCCTTTCCTACTTCGGCCTTGTTCTGTCCTGCTCCCTCCTACTTCGTCCTATCATGTCCCATGTTCGGCACCTTTTGGGTATCGCTCGTACCATCACTCCTTCTCGCCTCTCCTCTCCCTCCACCCCAAATTACCCCTCCAACGCCAATTTCATCACGTATATTTCACTGCCTTTCTTCCTCTTCCTTTTCGCTAACTTTCGCTTTGTTCTGTGCTGCCTCCGCCGCCTATTCGTCCTACTCATGTCCATCGTCGCCACCCTTTGTATCCTCGTACCCATCACTCCCGTTCTCGCCTCTGTTCCCCTCCACCCAAAATTTACCGCCTCCCACGACCCAATTTCAATCACGTAATATTCATCCACTCTATTTTCCTCTTCCTTCCCTACTTCGCTATGTTCTGTCGCTGCTCCCATACTATTCGTTCCTTATTCCATGTTCCATGAGCACCCCTTTGTTATCCTCGGGGTACCCATCACTCCCTTTCTCGCCTTTCTCTCTCCCCCTCCACCCAATTTACCCTCCACGGCCCAATTTTCAATCACGTATATTCACTCCCCTTAATCTTCCTCTTTCTTTCCCTACTTCGCTTATTGTTCTGTCCTGCTCCCTCCCTATTCGTCCTATCATGTCCATGTCGCACCCTTCGTATCCTCGTACCCATGTCTCCCTTCTCTTCTTTCTCTTCTCCATCCCAATTCTACCCATCCGCGCTCGTTTCATCATGTTCACTCCTCATATTCTTCCCCTTCCTTCCCTACTTCGCTTTGTTCCGTCCTGCCCCGTTTCGCCAGCGCGGAACGCCGAATGCAAAATGCGCGGAAAGGTTTCGCGCAGGAGAGGAGTTTAATAAGGTATATTCGGAAACAAAGCCATTATCAGCGGCCCCCTCGTCACGCGCGGAGAATTAATGTGCAGCCCTTCCGCCACTGTCCTTTCGGTTGTCCGTTGGAGACTGCGAAAAATTCGCTCGGTGGGTTTGGCTCTACATACAAATTTAAGAAAAACGTAAACCTAAAACAAATATTTTTGCACGTTCACGTCAACTCGGTAATACGACGTTACGTAATTCCAGTGATGAATAATGCAACTTTAATGTGATGAATAATTCAAATAATAATTTTTCGTCTTTAAATTTTCTGTTTGAATCAATTCGAAGGTTGGAATGTTACCAGAGCACTCGAAATTCATGTCCGAAAAATAGTATTTTGGTTTCGAAATTGTTTTGACTATCAAATGAATGTTGACGACCTATTTGAATTTTGTCAATAAATTACGAGAACAAGATTTTGCACAATGAGTAAAAAAACCTTACGCAGAAAAACTCTCATGCGTTTCAGTGAAACCTGAAGACGTTACTTCGTTGCAAGGGGTACTCAGTACAGGAGTTATGAAGGTTTGAACAACTGACTACTTTTGGGATGTATTATTTTACTTAATTGATCTTTCCAAAAAATAAATATCTTGAGTAATTTAAATTTTAGATAATTTTTTTTAGTTTCCTTCAAATTTTAATGTAAAGTGTGCAGCTGTAATTTGAGCAAGGGTGCATATATCATTTAGTTATATTGAATGTGTTGCTAGACATGTCATTATTTAACTAATCATTGGCCATTTCTTAACTGTCTAGGAAAGCCAAGCGTTTGTAGTGTCTTCTTGGTAATTTCCGGGTATGAATTTCGCTCGATCAAAAAGAAGTATAACATATTTTCATCTGACACTTTCATTTGTGACGTAAAAATTACGTCAGCACTAACGCTACACTCATATTAAGATTTGCAATTTGCGTTCTTTGGCATACCACAAAAGTTCTGTTCAGGACAGCAGAAGAGCAATGCAAATCTGATGAATGGCATTTACGTCACACTTCAGAGCCATTTTCTAAAGTTGAATTGAATTGTTGCCTTATTTTACGTGGCGAATGTTTTTTTGGGGCGATGAAATGGTCCATTTGAATTTAGCTCAGAGCTTCATTTAGGCTTGAGGATCTTTTACATGCAGTAAATCTACTAACATGGGACAGCCGGCTTTACTTCCCCTCCGACGGAGGCCTACGAAGGATTGTTTCGCCCATAAATAGCCAAGGCTTCAATCGGGTTTGAACCCGCGAAGTTGGGTATAGTCCGATAACATAACACTTACACTATCGCCCCGCCGCCGCTGTAAATGAAGATGAAATATCGAATGTTTAGATGCAGAATCAGCCACCCAAAATGGAAGAAATGAAGCTTCGGTGTGTAACCCTTCGATTGTAAAACTTAACCATTCCTTGCAATTTAATAAAATTAAATAAGTAATACGTCTTACAGCCTTCAGAAACTTCTCTCTTAAGCTACCCATTTACACACACTGTTTCCTGCTCTCAACTTTTTCTTTAATTAAAATAAAGTTCCTTTACTTCATTTTTATTTTGGGATGAAATTTTCGAGTATAATAAAGACAATCACTTTGTTATCATATCAACATTTTATTTTTATTTTCAATGACGACGATTCGCAGCTTGACAAGACTGCATAATCAGACAAGAGTGAACCAATTCTTCGGGTTCTTATAAATATTGAGATGCCTCTGTCCATATACTTAGACTCACATAAAATGTCATTGTTCCAAATTTTTTTTACAACATGTGAAATTTATTTAAAGGAAGACAGATAACTGATTGCCTCTAGGAAATATCTGACAATGTAGTCACATGTGTCTCAGAAACATCGTCATGGACAATAAGAAAGGTTCATGTGATAAGAAAGTGATCATGTAGATGAATTTGTTTATTTCATTACATACATCTGAAAATGAAGACTATTCCATATATAGTAAGGGCTACTATATTATATCATGCAATATAGCGACACGTTATTGAAATTCACTATATGCGATTGAAGGTCACTGAATGCGCTTTGCAAAGATTGGTTCCTTCCATGGCAATCAACGAGTAAAAGAATTTAAAGATGCAATCACAGAAACAAATAGTTTATTACGCACTAAAGCAATACATTATCGCAACTAACGCATCTCAAAAAACCTAATTTCTACACATCTTTGAAAACAATGAGGAAGACTTTGAATATCATCTGCTGTGTGAGGTTCGACTGTGTGTGCAACCTCTCGTTCAATTGTTTGAGTCGCCTAACATTATGACATTATCGCGTATTATGACAACTTCATGGCGATGAGGTATTATTTCCAATTAGGTAAAGCGGCCAGTCGTGAATATTCGAGAAGGACTAAATGACTTCTCAAGCCATCTTTCATAATTACAACTCCAGTTGTAAGCCGTAGAAGTGAACTATGGGAAACGAAAGGATGATTATGAAAGATAAATGGACCACCGAAGAGCTATGCGCGAGAGGGGATCTAAACCGACGGCTCTAGGCAATTATGGCTATCCATGTCAACTATATAATCAGTATTTTTTATTATTACACTATAATTTATAGTATTATTATTGTTATTATAATTATTATAAATTTAACTGATATTCAATTTAAAAAAATCGGTCCAATTAATGACTTTATGTATTTGGATGTTCCTCTTCATAATGTGAGCTTTTTCGTGACGTGATTACAAGGTCGTTACCGAAGACTCGAGAAACACCAAGCAACAGATGATTCTGCACTCTTGCTTATTGTTTCTCTCTCACTTAACCACTTTTTCTCGTCATGTTGGTAATTTTCTTACTAAAAAAAGCAACGGTTATTAATAAAATGTTTTCTTATATATGTATCGTTGATACACACTATTGTTTTTTTATGACTGTTACATATTCTATTCCTATTAAAAAGTGAAACTGCAGATTGGAAAGTTCAAATACAAATATTGGACGCAAGGTTTCATTTATATTTGTTTTAAATGTCAATACTAAAAAATCAATATATTTTCTCCTCACGCCGGGGTGTCCTTAGCACGGGTTTTCGGTATTGTCTCGGTAGTAGATACAGCCCTGAGTTACATAGGTCGTTCCATGAGTTTCCTGCCTTCAGTTATTGCTTATCAATAACAAAACCTTCTGAGTAGTTTATAGTCATATATTTAATTGTTGTAATACTATCGTTTACAGCTAATATCTCGGTTTTTGGAGAGAGGTACTTCAGTTGGACGCGGTGTTTGAAATCACGCTGTGTTTAGCTCGTTTATGACAACACACCTGCGCTTAATTCTTATATTGCAAAATAATGTTGTGAAGAACAATGACTTGAAGGAGTTGGAACATTCACACTATAGTCCAGATTGGGCACCCACTGACATCAACCATTTTTCAACACTGAAAAAGAAAAACCTTCGGGGAGGAAAAGTTTCAGTCGAGTGTGAGATGAAAGGCATTTGTTTTACCAATTTGCAAACAAAAATTTGGAATATTTTTGCATAGGCCTAGGAGTGTTAATATACATGTGTGAAAAGTGGGTAGGAGTAAAGGGTGATTAAGCTGAAAAGTTACGGAATATTTTCTCTCTATCAAACATAGAAGTTAGTGGAGCCAGAGACATATTAATCCTAACCACTATGCAACTACTGTACATGACTATATTACTCTTGGTTGATCAAAATGAATGGAATGAAGCAGAGCGAAGTAAATCTGTATCAACCTCGGAGAGGCGCGATTCGAAAAAGAAGTGAAGCTACACTACGTGATCAAAAGTATCCAAACACGTGGCTGAAAATAAATTACCAGTTCGTGGCGCCCTCCATCGGTAATGCTGGAATTCAATATGATGTTGGTCCACCCTACGCCTTGATGACTGCTTGCACTCTCGCAGGCATACTTTTAAATCAGGTGTTGGAATGTTTCTTGGGAAATGTCAGCCCATTCTTCCCTGAGGAGAGGTATCAAAGTACTCGTAGGTTGGTGA